ACAGCAGCCACCGCAGCGATGCCCTCCAGGCCACGCTGGCGGGCCGTGCTCAGCCCTCCTGATTTACGAGTGTGTTTACTGCCTTGGCAGGTTTTATGCTCCCAAACAGAATGAGCCTTGTGCAGTGCAGATGTAACTCACCACCTGCGCCTCCCCGTCAGCCACCAGAGCTTAACTCTTCGCTGCTTGGCACGAGGCTCTTCCCAGTCTGCTGGTGAAGTCGTGCCAGGAGGCTGAAACACCAACCAAAACAGCCTGGATTTGAGCTTTCCTTCCCAAAAGGTAAATCCAACAGGCAATTCCAGAGCAGCCACCTGCAAACTGGCCAGAGGGAGGAACAAGAATGATCAAAGGTCCACAAAACACATGGTCTGCAAGGAAAGGGGGGAAAAAATGTGGTTGTTCAGTCTGCAAAGGAAATGGGAAAACTTGGTAACAATTGTCAAATATATCAGAGGCTGGTGCAGAGAAGTATTTTTTTTTTGCATCCATGACAGGAGGGCAAGAGATAACAGCTCTGCATTACCCCAAGTCCAGATTATGCCAATCTCCCTCCTCTGTAGCAAATATAGACCCCCAAAGGACAGAGGGGGAGCCTAGCAAGCACCACTGTGTCTTTCTCTAACATCTGGGGACTAAACGTGTTTTAGAAATGAGAGAAAACAAAACCACTTAACAGGACTGCAATAACTCCAAAATTAAGTACTTAACGATTTTCACACGAGAGCACCAGAGAAGAGAAGGCGAAGGCAACACTTCCCAAGCGGCGCATCGAGAGCCGGACCCCTGCACCGTGAGCCGAAGCTGACGGCCGGCTGGGAGGTGCTGATGCTCAGCAGCTCCGCCAAGCAGGGCTTTAGACAGAGCGATGTGTCCAACAGGACCGAGAGCAGAGGCCGGGCGAGCAGTCAGCTCTGGCTGGGAACACATCCTTCCCCAGGTGCAAATTCAGGTCCTTGCACTCTGCAAGTCACAGAATCACAGAATGGTTGAGGTTGGAAGGGACCTCTAGGGATCATCTAGTCCAGCCCTGCTCCCCTAGGTCACCAGTTCCCAGGCTGGACTACACAGGTGCCACCAGTGCTCCGCGTCCCCGCTCCTGGCCTCAGTAGCCACTGGCACCTTTCACTTCTGGTCCTCTCCATGGTTGGGCTGCCCATGACGCCAGTGCCCATTCTTGCGGGGCCTCTGCCTGGGACACCTTGGGGGAGAAAGGCTGCAGCCTTCACCTGGAAACCAGCTCCACAGCACCCACGAAAACGGGACTAGATACGGAGAACCTCAAAGTACCGGGCACAGGCGGCTGGTGCGAGGCCTTTGCTCCGCTCCAGGAGCCAGACCAGGGAGATCTCTGCAGTTAAGGCAGACGTTGCCCAGCACGGCTCAACACACGCAGTTCCCTGACGCGAGAGACACCCCTCGCTGTTGCTCCTGCTCCTCCAGGGCACCGGCAGCTCCCGCGTCCGTCCCTCCACGAGGATGCCCAGGCACCTCCGCAGGGAGCTCGGCGAGGCGCCCGGGCCGCGCGCTGCTGCGCTCCAGCGGTGACACCCGCTGCGTGTCCCGGGCGTCCGGACGCGCTCCGCAACCAGCCCTGCTTGAGCCCGGAGGCTCCTCACTGCGGATTTCCAGCGGGCAGAGCCCTCTCTGAAAAAGGGGGAAAAAAGGAGGGAAAAGGGAAAGGGTTAAGCCCCCTCCCTCACACTGCTGCTGCCCATTTCTCTGCTGGTTATTAGATTGTTCACGGCTCTCAGGTTTGTTTGAATAAGCTCTTTTGTTCTGCAGCGTTTTCCCACGTCCCTCCATTCGCTAGGCAGTCGCGTGGCCCAAGTCAAAGAGGAGCTGCGGCCACGAAATGCTAAAGAAACTTTTTTGAGAGCAAGACATCTGCGTTGGAAGGATTCTGCCAACATCTGCCACGCTTTCCCCATTTTCAAGATCCTTTCTTTCCATCTTAAAAAGTGCAAGAACAGATGTTAAAAGTTGTTTTCTTTCTACAGGGTGTGAAATGCAGACAAGGAGCAAAAAAAGAAAACTCCAAGCAGCACCGACTCCTTTCTCTTTCTTTTTTTTTGGAAAACCCAGGAAAAAAAAGGAAGGCTTTGTACCAAGAATTCCCCTTTCAGTAAAACCTGGCAGTGCAAGATGTGAAAGTAAAGCACAAATTTACAAAATGCTGCCCTTAATGCTATCTGGGCATTTGCATTTGCCCGTTGGTGCACACAATCCGGGCACAGATGTCACCTTCCCCCTGAAAGGGAGGGCAGCTCCGCAGCCTGCCCGCTCCCCCCGCCTAGAAAATTAAGGGGTCAGCCCTGAAAGAGAGGTGTAAAATAACTGTTTGCAGCAGAAGCTGCTCCTCTCTTTCACCGAAACCCTGTCTTAGAAACGAACCTTGCAACGCGACCACTGAGAGCAAAACCCGGAGCAAGGGCGAGAGCAGCACAAGGACAAGCCCGTCGGGGTGTCCCGCGTCCCAACGGGGATCGGAAGCTGCTCCCGCTCCCCGGGGAGACCCCTGACAAGGAAGAACATGGGGACAAGGGTCCAGGTGCCACCACCACAGCCACCAGCGACACCTTCCCCGTGGCGCTGGGGCTGGTGAGCCCTCGGGCCACAGAGGATGCCAGAGCTCCGTGCCCAGCCACGGAGCACTACAGCAAACCCGCCTCGAAAGAGCACCGATGAGCACGCGGGAGAGCACCCGCTCCTTTCTGCTTCCATTTGATGTGCTTTTAGGAGCTCTTTGGCAATTTGTTGTCACCCCTGTGTCGCTCAGCTGGGACAGGAGCCCAGGTGCCCCTGGACGTCCCCTTGCCTTTCTGACCGCCTTGGGAAGGTGCTTTTCTCCCCAGGAGACGACGGTGCTCTGGGGGTGCTTAGTCTCTTCAGTGCTGGCCACGCAGGACCTGCTTAGAAGCTGTGCAGCCAGGTCACAGGGAGAAGCAGGAGCTCCCAGGCCTAAAAACACACCAGAAAATTCCCCAGACCTAGGAATGACATTTCCCCCTCTGTGTGCAAGCCCAGGGCTACCAACTCGCACGTCAGAGCCCTATCCCAACCCACACAACCCGTCCACGGGGAAGCCCAGCTGCTGCAGCCAGGAGGTGATAGGGACGCCCCAGCCACACGTCTTCTAAGGACAGACAAGGTTCCAACTCCTGTGTTGGCTTGGCAGAAACCTGAGAGCACAAAGGATACAAACTTGGAGCACTGGGGGTTGACGGAGCTGGGGGGTTCTCTCAAAGGACAGCAGAACTTACTATTCTATCCAGGGGACACTTGGGATATGCCCACCCCTACACCCTTACCGCATCATCCCTGCTTGACACCAAGCACAAACTACGACCTTTCCCTGCTCAAATCCCCTTTTGCAAAGCAGGAAACACGCCAGCCCACCTCAGGCTCTCCCTCGGGGCCTCAGCCGAGCAGGGTGCTCCTAATGTTGGGCAACTGCCCCCGATCTCTGCACTCCCCTGACTAACAACCTCTGCCTGCAAGATTCCATGCTGCGGACACGTTTCCATTACAGGCTCAGGCAGCAATGTGCAGACACGCAGTAAATATGCTTACATATACATCCATACAAACATACACCCACGCAGCATTGAAGCAAGGGACACGATGTCCTGGCTTTTGTTCCCGGCACCGCCGCAGCCCGGTCCCGCTGGCGATGGGAAACCCCGGCAGCAGCTCGGGGCGGCTTTTGGTTCTTCCCAACCGCTGCAACCTCTTCCTGCCCATTTAAATAAGGTGACAGTTTCAACACCAGCACAGAGGGCTTCACCTGGGGGACTCTACAGGACACTGCCAAATCCTGCTCATTAGCAAAGCAGCTGTCAGAAAGCAAAAGCACCGTCATCAAAAACACCTTCATACAGCCCCTAAAAAACAGACAGAAGTGAGGAAGCATAACGATATCATCATGTGCCAAGTCTCCTCCAAAGGTCCATGTGCTTTTGCACTAGCATTTCAGAGGATAAAAAAAATTTCCCAAACAAATAAAAATAACCCCACATTGTTTCCCTGAAAACCAACCCAAAAAAAGATTTGCAACATGATGGGGGGTGCGAGGGAGACAAAAAGGGGACAGGGAATGTAAATTCCAGTGCAAAAATCCGGAAGAATTAAGAGGACTGAAATCACCTCTCGGTTGGTTTGCATCTGAAATTGTCTGTAATTTTTATATTAAAGTCTATGCAGCAGTTCAAAACCAAGAGAGTTGCATATTTCCCACATGTAGAGGTGTGCAAAACAGAAACCAGGCTCTGCAACATAAATAAGGTTCCACAAGTTTTTCCCTAGAGGATTTGTGTCATGGAAACAATGTTTCTATGGGTGCCTGCTGTCAACAGGTTTTAATTGATCATCATTACCTGGTATTAATAACTCCTGCGAGCAGGAACTAGTAGACCCAGGGCTTTATTATTAAACTCTTGGCTTCTAAGATTTAAAATGGCAGGGGCTCAGGTTAACAGGTACAAGAGGGGCAGGAGCACAAGGAGATGAAGGGGAAGAAAAGACGCAAAGAGGAGGGTTTCCCAGGTGTAACTCAACTGGTTCCCGGCTATTGTTTTCCTCCCTGGGAATCTGTGCAAATTGAGCAAGGAGCCATGCAAGCTGCTCCGAGCGCGCCCATTTTGCCTCCCTCCTTCCTTCACAAAGGATTCCTACAAAGCCAAGCTGCAGAGGCTGGACATCTGTCGCCGTTTGGGGGGGCCAACGCGGCCATTGAAAAGAAGCAGTGACCTGTCAGCTTTGATTGATGGCCACAAACCCCCCGGGCTCGACCCCTCGTGTGGGAAAAGGCGTCCAGCCAAGGAAAACCCTCTTTCACATGCTAATGTGGGGTTATAAATACAGGCAGGAGCGCAGAGGAGAAGCAAAGCGCCCACCAGGGAAGGCAGCGACCCGGTGCCCAAGGAAGGAAGCAGGGAGGGAAGGAGGGAAGGGCCTCCCCGGCCCCGCGCGTCGCATCGCGGCGGACGGGCTGGATTACAATGACGGCCGCAGCCATGGCCGTGCAGAAGGGCTCCAGCACCAAAGAAGAGAGGAAGGTAGGTCCCGCTCCGCGCCGACCGGGAATCCCGGGACGTAGACACTCGTATGGACTTTCATGGATATTGCGCTGCGATCGCAGGCAGAGCCTCCAGGAAACAAAAAAATGTTAGCTTTGTTATAAAGATGTTTTCTCATGTGGGCATTTCTTTCTGCTTCCTTTCCCTGCCTTACAAAGGTGCATCTCTTGTGGTCGGAGTTGGGGTAACTCCGATTAACGCGAGGTCGCTGCTGGGTCCCCGTCCTGTCACCCCAGCCGCCTCCACTGGGCGCGCGGGACTTCTCAGGGTCCTGCAACACCCAGGGCCTCCTTCTGCCTCCGTGAAGCCAACACGGTTCAGTTCAGCCCTCACTGAAACAAGGAAGGGAAGGGCAGGGGCTGGCGACGGAAGTCATCTCTGCATTTCTTCCTCCCTTCATTTATTTTATTTTTCCTATCCACTATCTCCCTTCCAGTTAAGGAAACCCCTCATTGAGCGGAAGCGAAGGGAAAGGATTAACAACTGCTTAGACCAGCTGAAGGAGACCGTTGTTGGCGCATTTCACCTGGATGTAAGTGCTCGTTTTCACACACCTTTTGGTCCCTTGGCTGGTGGGGGGTTTCTTCTCCCCTCCTTTGGGAAACCCAGCAGTGTTTCACTTACTGAATTCTCGCTCTCCCAGCAGTCCAAACTGGAGAAGGCAGACATCCTGGAGATGACCGTGAAGCACCTCCAGAACATCCAGAACAGCAAGCTCATGGGTGAGCACGGCCTCCCTGCCCTCGGCTGGGCAGGCGGGTGCCAGGGAGGGCAGCATTTTCCATCCCGCAGCAGCTCAGCATTAGCAGAAGCCCTTTCCAACCCGCGGGGCGGCCCGGGCTTTGCTGTCGCCACTAGATGGGGAGATGGAGCTGGACACTCTGCTAGCCGCCAGCTCCGCTTCCAGCGCGGGTTCTCCTTTTGTTGGGCTGCCCCCTCCCCGCACGACCTTCCTGAAAAGGGCCATTAGCATTATAATAAAGCCCAGCTGAAGCAAATAAAGACCAAATCAGTTCGAAATCAAACCACCTTCCCCACGAGCCAGTAATTGGGCATTACCTAATGGTTTTTCAGAGTCTCCAGGTGTTTTACAAAGGGGCCCAGAGGTTATCCTGCAATATTCCTGCTCTACTGGAAAACTTAACTGCGGCATCTGAGCCCTGTCCTCAAGACCATTCTCATTTGCATCAATTGTAGAGCTTTTGTCTCACCCTGAAATAGGGCCCTGACCTCCCACAGACCCCACAGAGCGCTCTCAACAGAAAGCCAGGATAGCTTTCCCCATTAAATCACTCAGCCCGGGAACCAATGCATGTGGGAATCTGCTAAATGCTTTTAAGTGAGAAGGCACCGCGCAGCTTTTACCCCCTCACTAACTTCAGTTGTCTCCTGTTCAATACAGCTGACTCCAAAGTGGGCCTTGAAGCACAGCAGAGATACAGCACCGGATACATTCAGTGCATGCACGAGGTTCACAACCTTCTCCTCACCTGCGAGTGGATGGACAAGACGCTCGGCGCACGACTCTTGAACCACCTGCTGAAATCCCTACCCAGGTCTGGCGAAGACACCTGCAAAACAGCATTAAGGTCTTCGAGCCCATCTCAGCAGCCTGTCCTGACACCCAAACCCCCACCGAGTCCCAAGGGCAATGCTCCTGGCAGAAGCCCCTTGCAGGAACACTTCTACCTTGCTGAGAACAAGCAGGCTTTGAAAAATTCCTTCCAGCTGCCACCACCAGCTGTTTTCAGCCAGGTCGATGCTGTGCCCCCCAGACAGGTCCTGCAGCCAAATTTTTCCCATAATAACCCTAGTATGGGGTCATTAGATATGTGGAGACCATGGTAAAGTGCTTTAAAATGCTTCTCCTAATCTTAGACACTTTTACGTATGTATCTTATAGATATGTCTCTTTAAAACACTTAAGGAATAAGTGTGTTCCTGTAGGTGTATTAAAGACCAGGGTACTTCATGCCGAAGTAAACCTATGTGTAGCCTGCATTGTAGAAGGCTGCTATTATTTTGTATTTATTTAATACATCTAAATTATTGTATAGAATTCTCTCACGCTCTTTAGTACATATTGATTATATAATTTTCTTGTCTTATATTCTTAAAATCATTAGCCTCTTATTAATAAAAAGACAAGACAATGAGACCAGCCCTCTCTTGCATCAAGCTTATTACCTCTCTGGTCTCATGCAAGCAGCTGAAATGATTTTGCTGGATAAAGGAGAAAAAGGCCCATCTTATTTTTATTATTATTATTCTTATAATCAAACATAAGCCATTCCAGTTCGAAGTCCTGCAAGAATGCTGCAATGATTAGAAGGAAGAGAGAAGGGGAGAAACTTTGTTTAGATATTTTAGGTTGTTCAGATATATTTGGGGTGTTCTGTAGTGCTCACTCTAGCTATGTTAACCATCCAAACATGTTAGCATTACTGTTAAAACAGTGAGATAGGTGTAAATATATATGCTATACATAGTTACATTTAGAGATTTTGTTTACTTTCCTAAAAAAAAAAAAATCTAAATAATCCTCAAATAGTTACAATTGATTTTTGTCCAGCCTTGTCTTTTCTGCTCTGAATAAACAATACTTGAGGATCTGCTTTTGTTTTCTTCTTTTGCAAGTGGTTCTTCCTTAGCAGTTCAAAGAGATTTTTTTCAATTCTTGCTCCTGGTACTTTATAGAAGCAGCAGCACTGACACAACACTCAAAAAAAAAAATATCACCTGGATCACAGTAACACTTCACATTACGACAGAAGTCAGAAGCTGGGCTCATCAACCTGGCCAAATTCTCTAGGTTTTACCTGCAAAGGAATCACAGACAGAATCTAAAAACCAGAAGGTAAAATTCCCTACAAATTGTACCAACAGGACTGGGATAAATCTGCTCCACTTGTTGGCAACATCTGGTCACAGTTTTTCAGCTCAAAGGCAGTTAAAAGTTCTTCACAGTTAAAAGAAAAGAGCAAGGCTCCCCTAAGCAAACAGCCTGCATACGAATTAATGGGTCCCAGTTCAGAGGGGCTAATTATTCAGCGTGATCTATTTGATGATGTGTTCAAAGAGTGAAAATCGTCACCTCTGGTTTTGGTCTCTTCTCTGAAGCTCTCCCTTTCATCCCGCACTTCTGAGAGGACATTAGAAGGGGTAGCAGAAAGGTGGCAGGAGGAGCAGCTGGCCCACATGAAAGAGGGGCTCTGCCGAGGGAGGCTCCGCCACCCTCTGGGGCAGCAGAGCAGATATTCTAAGGACACAGGATTTTAGACATCTTACAGCATTCCCAATCTCCATTCCCTAGTGGAAAATTTAGGACTTGTCTTCCCCGTTTTGAAGTTGGGATCATCCAGAATGACTAACGATACCTGGATGCCACCCTGTGCCACCTGCTCCAGGTGACTCTGCTTGAGCAGGAGGGTTGGACTAGCTCATCTTTGAGGTCCCTCCCAACCTCAACCATTTTGTGATTTGATAAATGCCTCCCAATCTTCCTACCACAAAAACATGGATCACAGCGGGGATGGGACACAGCCTGTGCAAAGAGCAGCGACAACAAAAAACTCACGGTCAGTGAAAGCTTGGGCACCAGGAAGCGAGGCACATCCAAATCCTGCAAGTGCAAAGACATTAAAGATCTCAGCAGCTGATCCACATGCACAGTGCTGAGTTTAGAGCCCGGACACTGCACGAGCCCCCGCTGCGAAAGCCCTGCTGCCCAGCCCAGGGTCCGTCCGCTCCGGCTTGAAACCATCCCTATGGTACATCCCGAGGCGGGACGGGGGCTGGAGCTCAGCAGCTTTCTGCAGCTTCTCTTTTGTGTTTAAGGGGTCCAAGCACACCCTGCAGGGACCTAATAGAAAGGCTGGGAGTGGGGCTGGGAAATGTTCTAGGGGATTGAAAATATCTGTGTTTTCGACAGCATTGACTTAAAAACACACTTTCTCCTTAAAACCTGTGAATCCCCAGTGACTATAACTAGCAGCCACGGTTCCTGTGTTGAAAAGAGATCAAGGGGAATATGTATTTCTCACCATCTCTGGCTGTTTACTCTGTGCACTTGAAAATACTTGGTGGTTAGTGGGTTTTATTATTTCCTGTTTCCGATCAGTTTTTTTGTGGGTGTGGAGGGAAGGATCACATAGCAGCTGCTGAGAGATTTAAAATTAGCAAAGTGAGACTGCAAAATTTGGCCAAGAATCTCCAGGGGCATTTTAGTGTGAGACGCTGATTTTTCCACTGCCTTAATTTCAAATTGATGACATAGATTTAAGTGATCTCTGTGTTAGATATCTAAGTATAAACCTCAGTTCAGACTGATAGAATACCTCCAGAAACTAATGTTGGATGAATCCCTTACAAGTCACTTGCTTAGAGTAAATAAAACATTTGATAGAAAGACAAAACACGATTTATAGCACTTCATAAAAGTCAGCTGTCACTTGTGCTTGACAAAGGAGGTTTGTATCTACTTCAGACCCAAACAGGACCATATGGAAGCAGTATCACTTCTCTCTTCAATACTGGCATGTCTCCACTGACAACCCCAAAATGCCCCCAGCTCAACCACCTGACCCCAGGTAGGTGCCCAGGGGATGTGACTTCCCCAGCAAACACAGCCCGAGTCTCAAGACAAGCGCCCAGAGCAGAAGCGTCAACGCGGGTGCCAGCCAGAGCTGCTCGGTGGCAGTCACGAGATGCTTCACAAACCCACCCGGCACGCGCAGCGCACACGGGGTTGGGATGTCTCTTGCAGACTTGTGCTTCGTCTGTCCCTGCTGCTGCTCCACCCACGAGGTTGGTCTGCAAAGGGGTCTGCAACCCCAGAGGGTTCCACGAGTGAGCTTCAGGTCCAGCTCCCAGACGAGGGCCTGCAGTCACGCACAAAGGTTAAGGCTGCTTTGCTGAAAGACAAAAATCAAGTTAGTGCCAAATTGCTGTTCCAAATACCTATTTTGTGAACCAAATGTTAAAAACAGAGGCCAGCTGTTACATATGGAGGGATATGGGCAAGGCTAGAACTGAGACTCAGGACCCCCATATAGCTTTGGCAAAGCAATTACCACGTTAGATGCTGATGTGAGTCCAAGTGGACAAAAAATACATGCAAAGAGCAACTCTGGCTGTGGAAGTTGCAGTCAAAGTCCAGGTTTCTTCAAAATCAGCAGCACAACTCCCACTTATTTCTCAGGAAACTGTACCAGATCCTCTCCCAGTTAAGAAAGGTCCATTGGTTCATGACTATAACACAGACACATATGACAGAGCCATAACCACATTAACAGACAGTGCGTAGTGCTGAGACCTTGCAGATCGTTACCCAAGGGGGTTGCTTAAAAAAAGGAACAGGAGGCAAGTTTTTAGCTGATCTCTCCATTGTGCACTCACTCTGGCAACACCGAAAATCCAGGCTGCTCATCTGACCTCTCCAGCCTCACAAAGGGACTTCCAGTGCTCAGCTCACACAAGGAAGTGACCTTGCAGCATCCCACACAAAGGCAATTCCAGGGCAAAACATTTTCAGGTTGATTTTAACCATGCAGCCATGGCTATGAGTGCTTTTAGCTAGCCAGCAAAGCGCTCCTGCTGGGAGGAAAGCAGAAACACCCCCCTTCATTGACAGAGCACCAAAGACTTCAGCTTGCCTTTATATATGCCTGACATTACCTCTACATATGCCGTTATCTCACAGCTTCCAGCATATACACTCTTAACGGAGACGTGCTCAGGTGTCAGCTCATGAGAACCACCACGTGGAGAACCCAACCAAAGTCTGTGTTTTTTCAAAGCTTTCACACACTCACAATTAACACAGCAGAAACTGAAGGCACCCCTGGATCCATACTACTAAGATAACGGATTTACAAACCGCAGCCATGGCTGGCAAGAGCGTGGTTTGCTGCCTCAGGTACCAGATCACAAACTCACCTCCAAGAGACAGCCTGGTGTGAAAGGAAGGAAGAGTAAACCATGGCTGAGTTATCCCTTCCTCTGTTAGTATCCTCCTAAAATCTCTTCCTCCCACCCTGTCCGCCTGCCCAGCACCCCGAGTTTGTACATGCAGCAAGAGCCAGGCAAGGAGGTGCCTTGGGTATTTAAGAACATTGAAGGTGACTTCTCACTCCAACTGTGAGAGCGGCACGGCCTTGCAGCGTTACCTGCAGCCCAGAAACTTCCTCCATGGGCCGAAGAATAAGCTGTAAAATTGTTTGCAGAGAGGAGAAACAGAGAGGCCGATCCTGTTACCCCTCCATAAACACTGTCCTGTGCTATAAAGAGTTGGTTTACTGCCTTCCATAGTAATGTAATCAAGTGCTTGCCTTCTCACTTTTATTTTTTATTGATACAGACTTTTACGGCATCTCTCACACTCTGCGTCTTTGGAAGCACAGGATTTCCTCAGCTCCATGAAACAAGGCTTTCCACAAGCCACGCAGGCACCTCCACGGTCCCGGCCCGGCTCCCCGCGCGCTCCTTCCCGGGCTCTGCGGGACCCTCGCGGCGCTGCCGGCCTCGCGAACCCCCAAGGGGATCAGCCAGGAGCCCCGGCAAGGGCCGAGGCAGGGCCCCCAGCTAAGCTCTAGCTGCCACATCTCCATGCAGAGCAGGCGAGATGCGGGCCCTTTGAGAGGTGGAATTCATATGATTTTGGGCCGTGAGCATCATTTCAGACGGCTGACTTGGAATATCTTCCTGCCTCCAGGCTTCCCTCATTCCTTGTTCCATAGTGCTTCAGTAAACATGGCTTTCAGCTGAAAAACCTACAAAATTTAGAAGCAAGCCCTATGTGACCACCAAGGCACAAGGTGAGGGAAGCCCTAAGACAACCACTGCCTGTT